ACAGTGCCTGTTGACCCAGCTGTCTTTGTCAAGTGCCACGGCAGCAGGTGTTGTTTTCACGGCCACCCTGCCAGTAATACAAACTGTTTAGTAGTGCCGCTGACCCCGACGTCATTAACAGTGTTAGCCCAATCCTCTGGGGATCGGCTCTTTCTCTCATTTCCCTCCCTCCCTCTCTTTCTTTTTCACTATCCATCTCTATTTCTTTCTCTCCCTCATCTTTTCGGTTTCTTTCGGGTTTTTTAACAACGTAACAGCCTGTCACAACAACACAAAAAAAACTCAAAGTGTGGATGAGAGACAAGAGAGACCTGATATGGGTGCTGAAAGCAGTAGATGGGAGCATGGGAACTGCTCCCCCACTAGACCCCCCAGTGCATCTTGCCAGAATTCCCTTGTTACCACCCTATTCCTGCAATCAGTCACTGAGGCTGTCAGGGAAACGCAGAGGACCAACATCCCATTCTCTTACATGCACACTTTCCTGACAAGCACCAACATCTAGTGCTTGTTGGGTTTTATTGATCAGTTCGTTAATCCTGATAGCATCTGTTTTCACCAAATGAACATCTGCTGGCATTAGTATCCTACAAACCAAGACTGTGCTTTGCTAAAAAGAGGAGCAAAAAGTGTCCAGAACTTTTCAGCCTGTCAACTTTCAACTACTTTTAGAGTTAGTAGTCTAAGCTTCATTTGGCTGAATACTTCCAGACAGCCACAAAATCCCACATATCCTATGCCTACTTCTCATATAGGATGTGTTGTGAGAATGATACAACGTACACAAAGTATTCATGATGTGTCAAGACGTATGGGGTATGATTAGGGCTGAACGTCAAATAAATCGCATTATTCTGAAAAGTCAGCTCTGTAATCAGCTGTGGATCTCCAGCATGTGTGTTCACGTAGAGCAGCGTTTACTACACTGAGCCATAGTTCTCTGCCAAACTACGCAAAATTTCGAATGCGAGAGTCAAATCTGTAAACTACAGGCTTTTTTAGTAAATGTTGCTAACAGTAAACTTGAAAGCACATGTAAATACCACACTTAATGACGTTTTTAATCAAAACATGGGCTGTTTTACAATTCCATGAACGCTGAGAATGGACTTGCGTTCTTGTGGAGATTGGTTTTGCCAAGTTACCTCAGAAGAACGAACTCTGGAGACCACAAGAACAGAAAACGCGTCCTGTGAGAAATGAGATGCGTTCTTCCTGATGATCACATGACCGTTATGCATTTTAAATGGAAAATTATTTAAAAATTTCAGCATTCATAAAACGATTTATTGTTTTTTCCTTTTTTACAATATTTACTATGGGTAAAGATTTTACAAATATATGTTGCACAATACAAATAAAGCTAATTTTAATGTGATTTTCAACAAATAAACACCTTTAATGTCTTTATGCCTTTATAAAGATTTTTATGGTAATGTTTACTTACACCATTTCAAACTCCTGAGACAAATAAGTCATGTCTCTAAACATTAATAATAAATCTATAGTAAATTCTGTGCTTCCCACCTCCTTTATTCGGCTGCAATGACTTCTGAGACTTCTCAAGCAAGTTTTGTGCTCAAGTCAGCTTCGATGCATCCTTAATATCAAGAACACATCCATGAACTTTCATACATCCACCGTTCTTGTGGTCTTGAGTTTTGAAACTGAACTTTTGCAGTTGATGATGACGTTACACGAGAACAAATACACAAAACCGTTGAAGAACACATATTGAGAAAAGCAAACACATTTCATAATAGCATTCTAAGCATCAAAAGAATTGTATCACTGCATACTTTATTATCAGGAAATTTAACATATAAGATATGTTGTCATTGTCATGTTTATTAATCCTATTTAATCAAATCAAACCAGTTCTATCTATCTTCTATGTTTATGATACGCTCCAAAGACATACCATAAATTGGTATTTCCTGGGTCTCTTTGGGGTATATTTGGTTTATAGGGATTGTGATTTTGAATACGTTAATGCCAGCTGGAAAAGGTAATGCACAACAATCCCCTTGATCATAAACACAACCGTGCTTAAGGGGAATATTCATTAAAAAAAGAAAATTCTATCATCATTTACTCACAGTTTCTTTCTTCTGCTGAGCACAAAAGAAGCAAGTTAAGACAGTTGATGGTAACTCTCGACTACAATAGTTTGCAATAGTTACATTTTGTCTTTAGACCAGATAGATATTTATAAATGTTTGTTTTTAGTCAACTGGGGGTAAAGTGTTTACAGCCCTGGGCTTTCAATGCAAATCATTATAGGTGAAGGGAGCTGTCTTTCACCAATAGAAGCAGAATGATTTCATGCCGGTGGTGTTATATGTGCTGTCTTCAAATCTCACTTCAGTCTGCGCGTTAAACTGTGTTAAGTATTTTAACATAGGAAAAATGACACACTTCACCTTTACTGTGATTCCACCTCCATTCTTTCCACAGCCCTCATCATTAAGCGCAGAATCTTTGGCCACCTAACTTTCCCATACGCCACCTCTAGTGAGATACACAGGATGTGAACTCACCAAGAGCTCTCCAGCCTGTTTCCCATACAGTTACTGCTTCACTGGAGTCCAATTACAGTGTGTTTGTGTGTGTGCAGGCCTGTTGGGTATGTCAACAGCCCTGCTGCTCACTAATAGACAGCCTTGAAGAGATTTGCCTGGCTCATTAAGCAGTGTGTTTAGCTGAGTGAGGCATAAGAATGTTTGGAGAACTGAATTTCAGACAGGTTCAGCACCAGCTACTTAGTTTGACACTAAAGTTTTGCATCTGAAATGCATTACACACAAAAGCATTATTGTTTCCACACATTGTCATGCAGAGCCTGAATTTTGACGTGGGAATGTATGTATTGTGCACAAACTGACTGTAGTGAAAGAAAAGGAGTGTGAGTTTCATCACCAGAACCGTTTCTGTGTACTGTATCCATATTCCTCAGTTTTTGTGAATGCGCATCCAATATTCGCAAAACTCAAACGTGCCTTGTTGCACCTATTTGCACTACTTACAAATAAAAAACTAGCAGTTTCAGACTAGAGGTTAAGCAAGAGATTATAGCTTCAAGGTTGGGTTTAGTGTTGGGGTGGGGTTAGTCATTTATTATAGCTTGTAGTTACTGTCAAATTAGGGTTAGGCAATTATAGCATCACCCTACCTTCAGGTCTGAGGCTTTTATTAAAATGTGGTCTTGTAGGCTGCATTTACACTGCATGGTCTAAGTGACTCAGTTCCAGTTTTTTTCTCTCATGTGACAGATCGAATACGTCTAAGCAGGAAAAACTCACATGGATTCCGATTTACTAAAATCAGATTCAGGCCTTGTTTATATGTGGAAATTTAAATGAATTAATTGGATGAATGAGTTGGATCTGTGTCCTTGTGTCAGCAGTGTAAGCAGGTAGATTGGATTTTCACCTGTCATTGTGAGTCATTAAAAACCATAGCGAATGATGTTAACTCTGACGCTTTCATTTCAGAACAGACTAAAAAGCACAAGTATTTAAGCATGGTAATGAGAGAGAGAGCTAGAGCGCAACATCTGCCACGTAAGCAATATAAACTAATATAAAACTGTTACATCACAAGCAAAAGTCATTCCATGGACATCACATTAAGATGCCTACTGGTTTAAAAAGGCCTGGATTAAAAGAAGATGGTCAAATGAAACCTTTTTTGTCATAAACTATAGTAAAACAACTTGTCAAAAAGAATTTTAAAAAATGAAACTCTGCGAACCGAGGGGGCGAAAGGACGCTCTTCTATTATCAGCTGTCAGTCAGTGCCCACTCTTTTTTTTATGGTCTATTTTTCATTGTGCCTTTTCCATTTGCAGTGTAAATGCAGACAGATGGATATGAGTGTTTTTTAAAGATGATGTAAGCAGGTCATCAAAAAATTAGATACAGTCACAAAATTAGAATTGACTATCAAGATCTGCAGTGTAAATGCAGCCGTAAAGTGTTGCAGTTCTGTAGTTAAATATCTCTCACTGGTGGATTTTTACAATTATTTTGCAATCCAATCACTGTTACATGATAGGGTGCTATTACATATCTTCAGATTCAAAAACAAACAATATACGTATTGCATAGGTGTATGTAAGCTAATGTGACGATCAAAATATTCAACTGCAAACGAATCAATGAAATGTCAAACCAATGAAGCTGGATATGCTAAAGCTTTGAGGGTCCTGATCGACTTGATTTTCTGTCAGTGTTTTAATCAGTGTTCTGAATACAATCAAGAGTTTGCCTTTGGCTGATTTTTCTGTGTTTTACCTACTGTACATGTGTTCATTTAGAGCTGATTTATACTTCTGTGTTACCCATATGATCCATTGCAGCTCTCGCAGGGTCACATAGCCCTCCATGCGCACCTCAAAAAAATGTAACTACATGCCGCAACGATGCATAGTGCAAGCTCTGTGATTGGTCAGCTTGGTAGATGTGTGAGCGTTGCTGATAGCTGCGACCCCTGTAGAATGAGTGTTTACAAGTGTTGAGTCCTGTGGAGGAGCTCCAGATGGAAACTTTTGTTTGTTTTGTGTTTAGCTTATGATTAAAGTTGTTGCACGTTTGTTGTTCCCACCTCTGAATGAGCGAGTTTTAGAAAAAAACAAAACACCTGCGAAAATCACAACTCATACAACATAAAAACCTGCTGCTAGCATTTCAGATGTGTTATTGCAGAGCGAGACAAACAGCGGCAGAAGTATAAATGCACGACTATGCGCAAGGCAGGTGCTGTGGGTCGCGACGATCACTCAACACAGAAGTATAAACCAGCCTTTAGAATACATAAAGGAAAACAAGGCTGCCAAAGTGTTTCTGAATGACTTCTAGTCCTTCTAGAATTTCCTTCACTAGTACACATTTGCACAGTTGGAATTGGTTTCATTTTAAAATTGCAAAGAATACATGCCTGTAAGTAGAAAAAGAAAATCAGACTATTAGTTGACCACCAATGCCCTCTGCCTCTTGCAGACCACAAGTTCCAAAGGAGTGCAGAAGACCAGTAGAAGATCCAGAGATGCTAAGCACTGCTTGTTCACGTGAATGCAAGAACGGCCACTGTACACCAACTGGCAAGTGCTGCTGCAATGCAGGCTGGGAGGGCCCCTTCTGCTTACGAGGTACAAGAGCCAATCCCAGCACTTTTTTCTGTCATTGATTTCAAAGTTTCCTTCAAAGGTTGTTCAGCAAATTTCATGTTTCTGTATTTCTGTTTTTAGCCAAGTGTGAACTGGCTTGTCGCAATGGCGGGGTCTGTGTGGAGCCCAACAAGTGTCTCTGCAAGGAAGGTTTTTCTGGCAACCAGTGCAGTAAAGGAGAGCGAGGGACAAAAGGGGACGGTGAGAAAGACAGCATCCTGGAGCACATCATTGACATGACGACTTACCTGCTGGACCTCACTAGTTATATTGTTTAAAAAGCAAGGCAGGAAGCTGACTCGCTCTTCACCATTTGGCAATGTTACGAAGGCCGTTCAGAGTTTGCCTTCAGTACACCATCCCCAAATCTCCAACTGCCCCTCACCTGATCCTCCTCTCCCACCACTGTTCTGTATTATGAGCCACAGGCTTTGATATCTCCATGCTCCCCTACACCATCTGCACTCCCACAAACACACACATAAAACAATAACATGGTGTCCAAAGGAACCTCAACACACTTAGCCAAAGGGGGTCGCATGTTGGAGATGAACACAGTGCTCCTCTGTTTGGTGTGTAAGGTCAAGTGTCCCCGCAAGAGGTCTCAAAGCACTGGAAGCCCCACCTCGGATGTTCAGACCGACCCTAACAATTGGGATATTAGGGTGTCAACAACGCCTCAAGTGGACAGTCTATCAAACTGAACTGCACCATAAAGAAACTCACTGCCACAGATTGTTCTAAGAACGGAGAGGAAGGAGCTGTCAGTACAGCAGCAAAACCGTACAACAGACTTGCTCTGTGTAGAACTGGAGAATCATATTGATGGGACTTGATGCCAGTTTACTTGCAGTTTAAAACCGGATTTGCTAAAAAAGGTCATCTATTTCTTGATACAATTGTTGAAAGGATTAATGAGGATCCTGCAAAACTGAATATTGGTTGATTCCTGTTGATGTTTCATTTAGAAGAAAAAGTCAAGTGAAATCAATCTTTAAAGAATGTTTGGACAGTCACTTTGATTAACTTAATACACGAGTTAAAGACGACTGGTTTGCAGGGAGAAACTACCCTCGAGAGGAAAAATTGCAGTATCAGTTAACCTATTTCCTGTAGTTTTTCATGGCCATGCACGCTGCTTTCATTGCAAATTGTATCCTTTATCATATTTTAAATTGTTCATCTATCATCTTTTGTGTGATGTAAAGCACAGAAGCTTGTTTTTATAAATGGAAAACCCTCGTGAGGCAATTTTAGCTACTACTATCGTTTTTGTCTTACATTGACTTCACAGATTATGTTTTAAGTTCTCCATTTAACACCAAACCCTATTCAGTTTTGTCATATACAAAAGGGAACATGACTGGTGACTGGTGTACATTTCATATAGTACTCTACAAAGTACTGCTTAGATTTGCCATTGTTTTAATAGAGGGTTTATTTTTTTTAAGGAATAATATATGGGAGAGGAGCAGTTTTGCATTAAGCCTGTAAATTCATTTATGTATTTTACTTATAGATATACAGGTTTGACATCTATAAAAATCTTAACTTAAAGCTATAACAGTGTTCTTTTACTTTCAAGAGTGCTTTGACTGAAAAAAAAAACACAACCATAGATCTTTCCTTCCAACAATGTGACATTTCTATAAAACAAAGTTCCAGCTATAATTTGAGACTATCATTTTAGTCAGCCAGCTCTTAAACGAATAGGTGATGTTAAATATGCTTTGCGTCATTAAGACTCCATAGCATCCCTTTACTTTCAGATGTTGTTGGTTAAGCTCTCTTAAATGAGCTCTCTTCTACAAAATGCACTATAAATCAAGCAGAAATCATCCCATACTTCAGAAAATTACCTCATCGACAGCGGTTCTATCACTGAATAACTGATAAGACTACATCTAGACAACAATTGGACCCCTGTTCAACTTTATACTCACTTGTTGTCAATGAGGTCCTTATTTACATGTTTCATTGAGCCCTTTTTGATGTGATTCTTGTCATTGAAGGTTTACATCCCCCTCTAAAATCAGACATATTCAGTATGATCAATAACAATCCCCGTGCGTTTATCATGTTCTGTTCAGTGCATGTACGGAATCCATGCTGTAAATCTACTCTGTTATTTTAGCACTTAATGTGAAACCTGCATTGGAGCTGCTGGGAAGGTGTGATGTGAATAGAGTAACCCTGTTTCCTTTATTATTTAAGTAGTTATGCCTTAAAGTTATTTAAGTTGTCTACAATGTTTTTACTGTTTATGTGAAGAAATATGGTCATTTATTGTAAATAACTAGGTTTATCTTGGGTTCTTCTCAGAAATATCAATATGTTTATTAAAGTGTATAGCATGTTTGAGAACTTGAATGACTCATTTTCTTTTTTTCTCTTATGTGTAATCTAATATTACAATTAAGCTGTTTTTCAGAAATCTGAAGTGGTAAAATCCTCAAGTGCTACACACCAATGTGCAACAAGTCGCTTTAAATCTCACACAACCTCAAAATGCATCTGGCCATGACTTTTAAATGAACTAAAGGTTGTCAATATGTTACAGGTAAACAGCTTTCAGTATGGCGGACTGATATTTTTTTACAGCAGTTCTCTGTGCTTATGGCAGTTAATGCCAAACATGCTTAACTTACTTATACTCATTACAGCAATAGCACACCAAGGCAGTGTCCGAAACTGCATACTTCCATACTATGTAGTACGCTAAAATCAGTATGCGAGCCGGTAGTATGTCTGAATTCATAGAATTTGAAAAACGGTATGCGAGAAGTACCCGGATGACTTACTACTTCCGGCGAGATTCTAGAGTGCGCATCCCATGCATGCTGCGCTATCCCATGATGCCCCGCGAGCGAATTCATGAATGGGAGTAAAGCGACGCAATTGACGCAGGCAGGTCACGTGAACATGAAAAAATGGCAGATGTCGTACATCCGAATTCCATTCATACTTTTTACGTTCATACTGTATAGAACATACTTTTCTAATGGCCCAATAGTACGTTTAAATTCAAATGCAGTACCTACTGAGTAGTAGATGGTTTCGGACGCAGCCCAAGTGTATTAACCTACCCTTGAATTTTGATGACATGTTCAAAAACAAATAAAAAAAGGATTCTTTGATGATAGGAACGATTGCCATAAGCACCAGCCTCTTCTAAGCCATCAGTGTCCACGTAATCTTCTTTTACCAACTCAACTCAACTTTTGTTCAGCTTGATGCATCACGTTTTTTCATGTCATTTGTAACAAAAAAACAAACTTGGTCACAAGTTAAACACTGGAACATAAACATTTTATCATATTAACATCTTTTTTATATTTATATTAATTTTAATACTCTCTTTTAACTTGCTTATTTAACAAAGTTTGCAACATCAAACATAAGAAAATACCACAGACTGTGAGTGAATGCTTGTGCAACCACAACTTGGAGCTTCCTCCACTAACTACCCTTCAAAAATGATCTACCTGCATACCTGAAGCCTAGTCTTCATACAGTTAATGGTAGGAGAGAATTTAAGCACCGTGCCCGGTGGGTAAAACTGCAAGTGGGTAAGACTCCACGGTCTCACAGCTTGACTGGATAATTCAGAAGCAGTGTCTTCTCATAGTATAAGAAAACCCTCTCTCTCATGAAAAATAATTAGACATCAACAAATCATTGAAGTCCCCGCAGTCCTATGCTACAACAGCACCAGTGACGAGAGAAAACCTCAAATATATTCAGCTTTTCCCTGCAATTAATGCTAACATTGTTTAAACTGATGTTCAACACACATAAATATGGTCTCGCATAAATCAGCTGAGGTTTCATCACCCTTTAAAGAGGACCTATTATGCCAATCATTCTAGTCTCTGGTGTCCCTAAAGTGAAGTGTCTACCCCCCCAAAAAACACAAATAACTCTTTGATACTATTCCTTTACAGCTTTCTATTCATATTTAGCCTTTTTAGTAACTGTCACTTTCAATTCAAATGAGATAATGCTTCCGGCTTTCTTTTTTAATAACCAGATTTGAAACAGCCCTAATGATATCCCTGTGAAAAGTGAAAATGTCAACAACAAAAAAAGAGGCTCCAAATAGATAATCTACAGAGACTGTGGTGTTCATTTGTGCATCCTAAAACTCCACATTTATAATGCCTCAATCACTGACAGTAAAAGCTCTTATGGCGGATGACTGCTTCTCACTCAGGACTGTCTATGCTAATGAGGGAGAGATCATCACTATTGGGTGGGACTTTCCTCCTTTGATGACATGTACAAACTGTTTTCATCAAGTGTGATTTTAAAAAATAGAATGAATACATTTTTACAATTAGAGGCTATATTCACACACTGACTACATTTACATAAACATCAGTAATCAAATTATTTACCTTAATCTGAATAAGACAATAATATGCGGAAGGTGTTTACATGAGTTGCTTTTTGAATGTTCCTTATATGATCTCACTTACATGTTATAGCACATAATTAAATTAACATAATTGCGTCACCACGCTACCCACATTTCCTTCAGAGTTTCATGCAATTGGGCGACACGCAATCCTCTCCATCATTCTCTCTCTCCTTTCAGTTGGGATGGTGGGCAAAATGAAAGGTTACAATGGGCCAACTTTGGGCATCTCTAGTTTAAACACTGAAATATTAAACTGACAACAATATTCGTCTGCTGCTGTGGAAACGTGACCTTAGATAAAAGTAGCACATTTGAATGAGTGCATGATATGGCATCCCACAACAACAACCACAAACACATCATTCAGTCCCGTCCTCTGGAAATCTCTACTGGAAGCTTCACAAACGAAGCTCTGGATGTTGAGTGTAGGTTGACAGCGTTATTAAATTCCATCTCCAAACATCAATCAGGTTGAGTGGTCATTATAATAATGAATGAGGACCACCCAGATCACCATAGTCACCCCAATGTATTTGGAGTAATGCAATACTAAGTTGTCTGTGCTTTGTTCGGAGCCAATCAAAATCGTGTTGGGGAGCCAGGCTGATAGGGGTATATTTGAGTTTATATACTATCTGTGGCATGAATCATTACTTTTCATTTGGAATGGTTTTCTTTCTCTTCCCTAAAGGGCCTTTGCTGGCTATATTTCATAAACAGTGTAACCCGGCACTCAGCATAAACATGACGAGTCTGTATACTAAATATTTGCAAAACTCTGATGGTTGGAAAACTCACTTATAATATCATATACACAGAATAAAGAATTATCAGGCAGATAATGGCCTTAGATAAGAGAAGGACAAAAGATCAGGACATAATGCTTTATCTATACTGTATATGTGAATATGTGTATATCGATAAACTTCCAAGAAGGCCATACTTAATCTATTAAAGAGAGCACACACACACACACACACACACACACACACCCTCACTCACGTCTACTTTTATCGCACCCGTGCTTTAGCAAAGTATTCTATTACCTCATATTTTTTATGTGACCGGGTCAGAGAGGACTACCGCTGAAGTGTGTGTGTGTGGTCATGAGTGAGGAAGGCAGACTCCCTCACTGCCACACTGATGAAGTTATGGATCACAACACACCCTCAAAATTAGAACAAACATGCATCAGTACTCTGCCTTCAGCCACCTCCTTAAAGAGATAGTTCACCCTATATTAACATTCCATTGACAATTACTCACCCAAATTTGTGTGAATTGTAAGAACTTTTTTTGTCCATATAATGGAAGTCAATGAGGCCCAAAAATTTCAAGTGGCAAAATAAAACACACAAAAGAAAATTGGAAAATGTTTGATGGCGGCTTTTCAGTGATTATAAAAGCCAGCTACTTTCTCAACTGAATATGTAATCTATTTATAATTTGCCAAAAACAAAACAACAACAACAAAAAAATTGCATGCTGCTAACATTGACCAACGGCAACATACTACAGGCTGCAAAGTTAAAGTGGTAACATGCATCATATAAATGCAGCACTCTCGAAATTACAATGACTGACCTAGTGATAACCATTAGCCACAGACATATTATACTCCAGCTGAAGACTGGTTACTCACTAAAGCTAAGGGGGCACTCGACCTGTAGTCTATGTGAGTCCTAATGCCGCAGTAAAGTGAAGAAGGGGACACTACTGTCAGTGAGCGCTGTCTTTCGAATGAGATGTTATGAGATGAGAATTCTTGTTAAGAGTAGGAGTGTAACCCCGGTATCCTGGCCAAATTCCCTCCATCAGGCCTTACCGATAATGGCCTCCCAATGGTGTATATGCACTTGGCCTTTTAAATTCCAGTTAATTGTCATCCCATACAAAATTGCTGCGTTTAAGGTCGCATTTCCACATTTCCTAAAAAAGAAAAAACAGCAATCTTCACTGCCTGGCTGAGGTATTATATAAAGTGGACTTTAGACCAAACAAGAAGCACAGTATTAAATATTAATTTATATTTATAAATATATTTCTTTCATGCCATGTCTTTAAAATATGGAAATTAATTTTAACCCCGGTATTATCAATGGAGTTTCTGTGATACCCTGTTGCTAATGACGGCGCCTGCGTTAAAACTTTTTTCTTTTTATCTCTTTTTATGCTTTAACAACCGAATGGATGCTGAAGTCTATTGAACTGATTATATTTGTATTCCATTACATCATCAATGCTGTAAAAGGAACCTTATAAAATCAAAAATAATCACCTTAAGCTTTCAACGGAAGTTATTCCCATCCACTGAATTGGCTCTATTACTGTCTCTCCACTCCTCTTATATCTGGTGTGTGGTGAGCGCTGGGGTTGTTGTCCTGTGGCTGTCGTCACATCATTCATGTGGAGCTGCACACCGGTGGAGGTGCGAAGAGACCCCCCACCCCCTCATGATTGTGAAGCGCTTTAGGTGTATGGCCATACACAATAAATGTGCTATATAAATACACACTACATTACATTACAACGAATAGAATAAAAATAGAAAGGCTTGGGCATCCACACTAATTTTATGGAATCAGGCATGAAGTCACATATTTGTTTGTTTATATTGCATGTTATAAAGTTAACTGATTTGCTATTTGCACTTCAGTAACTATTAAACATGACATTGCTTTCAGTTAGAATTACACCAGATCTGCTTTATAGCAAAAATCTGTTTATAATTATGAGAATATGAACTGGAGAAGATTTTAACCTACCACCAACCTATTGCGCAATCACATGATAGACAGACACATAATGGCACAGCTCGGAAATGTGTTTCAAACTCCTGAAATGAACTTCAAACAACCTTTATATTTATGTTTCTACATGACGTAACCCCAATTTGTACATCGATTTTAATATTGGGGTGTTTATAGATCATGTGCCATTG